GGGGTTATGGAATGAAGGCAATTCGTGTGGATGGAAATGATGTCTTTGCTGTGTACAATGTCACTAAAGCAGCTCGGAAAATTGCAGTCGAACAGTCACAACCAATCATGGTGGAAGCCATGACTTACAGGTTAGATAGAGTAACAGTCTCTGTAGCCCCTCAAAATTAGAGAAGAGTAAAAAACAAGTTTTCAATTTGCCTCTACAGAAGGAAACAAAAAGTGGCACATTTACATTTTTTAACTCTTCTGAAATAATGGCTCCAACTTTACCACTACCTGCAGGGAATAGAATTATGAAGAGTTTAAATGTAGTAATTCTCTGCCCCTTTCATACAATTCTTAGGATGTTAGTTGAGAATTTGGTGTGGATCAACTTATAATCCCTTAATAAACATTTTTCATTTTTTTGTGTTCTTATTGTTTGTCTGCCTGATGTTGCATTGACATTTTAAGGAGAAATTCTGTCTTGGTCACTTATCAGAGTTAAAGGGTTTACCACCTCTTAAAATCTTAGGTTTAGAGGTAAGAAGCACAAGTCAAAATAAGCACTTTTGAGAGAGGGCACACAAATCCTTTAGCGATGCAAAAAGAACTATTTAACCTATCATTGTTCACCTTCTCTTCATGATGAGTATAACAAAATAATTGCTCTTTGGCGGCACTTATTCTTTTCTTCTTATTTCCCAGAATTGGTCATCACAGCACTAGTGATGATTCCTCTGTGTACCGCTCTCTAAAAGAAGTCAATTATTGGGACAAGGAGGACCATCCCATTGGAAGGCTGAGGTATGGTTAAATCAGAATGGCAAATAACTTGTGATCTTTTTAGCTTGTTTCTTAGATCCCAAATCTGTATGGTAACAGGTTGTACTCGATAAAAGGCCACTATCGCTCAAATGCAAGAGATGGAACAAATATTAGCAATAAGCTAATCCTCTCGGTTTCTGGAGGCCTCCTTGCCATCTATTAAAATATTGTTTTTAACAATTATAGTAAAGTTACTCATTTGGTGGTGTAAACCATCTTTCTCTTTATGAATAGTGAATGGGGCATTTATTTGAGGGTTATAATAAAAAAATAACAAGACAAAGAACTAGTTTGTTACACTATCCTTTGACATTTATATCTGCAAGAAAAGGAGAAATTGGAGCTTTGGAGTAAATATTGATCATACCTCCATTACTTAGAGTTATAGCAAAAAGAGACCATATAATTTTGCCCCTGTTGGCCTCTAAAGTAAATTATATTACATGCCTGTTTTTAAGGCTTAAGTGGGTTAGTTTTCACAGAAGCTGTGGTGCTGTGCTAGTGGCAGGTATTGAAATATAATTTAGTTTTATTAACTGAGTTGATAAGGTAAATTGGCCATCGTAAGGAGTTTCTAAAATCTGAAGTTGTTAGCATTAACCCTTCATAAGAGGGAATGAAGAAGGACAATTGTCAAAAACATCAGCTTTAGAAACTATTTACAATGGCCATGTTACATTATCAATTCAGTTGATAAACCAAATTGTTTTGAAGGTTGTTCAACTTACAACTGTCTTTACTATTTTTCATTCCTAACAAAATCTGTGTAAACTGAAGTCAGTCAATCGAGGGTCTTGCTGTTGCATGCCAGCCATTTTTCCATCACAGTTTTGCTCTTCCTAGGTTATGTATAAATTTTTTTACTTGTCTAGTATCCAACATGTTATATCTTTACTGTTTATTATCCAGACATTACATGGAAAACAAAGAGTGGTGGAATAGTAAAATGGAGGAGGAATGGAAACGAGAGGCACGCCAACAGGTTATGGCAGCATTTTCAAGAGCTGAGAAGGCACTCAAACCTCCAGTCGAGGAGATGTTCAGTGATGTATATGACACACTTCCTTCCCGTTTGAAGAAACAGTATAAGGAGTGTATGGATCATGTGGCAAAATACCCTCATGAGTACCCAACAGAACTTTATCAGCCTGACAAATGATATAATAGGCTAAGGTGTAATTTGTAAATTTGAATGGATTTGATGAAGGAGCTGTTAGAAATAGAATTTACACTTCCCAGGCCAATTGGCAAATAGTCGTATGAGAAGCAAATAAATGACGGTACTGCCTGCTAACTGAGTTAAAGGTTCATACTGTAAATTATGTACCAAGTTTTTCCACTAGGATTAATGGCCCAAGTGCAAATTGTGTAGTCCTTTATAACTCCCATGAGTGACCAAGACAGAATTTCTCCTTACAATATTGATACAATATCAACCAGATAAGTGATGAGAACAAAGAAAAATATCAATTAGGGGATTATTGATTGATCCAGTACCAATTCTCCAAACTAACATTACAAGAACTGTATGACAGACAGTAAGGAGAATTACTAATGAGATCTTGGGAGTTAGAGGATTAATTTGAGAAGGAACACAAGGTTCCATGACTTACAGTACTGACTGAGAAGTAGTACACACATTGTGTGTAGGAACCAAGAAAAATAAGAAAAAGGCTGGATATGAAGGTTTACTTGACAATATCACTCTTGTTCAGTGGTTATCAACATTAATTTTTTTGCTCTCTGCTTATTTGCCAAGGTTTATCTTTCTCTATACCCCTTATTAATCCCTGGGTCTCTGAGGGGGTATTGCAGATGTGTGTTTATGTATAAAGTCTAAATCTGCTGGTTCAGAGTTATTTGATGCCAAGAAGATGTGTTTCTATGGATGCCTCTCTGTGCATGACAGGACACCTTATTAGAATTATGCAATTCAGAGGGTCTCTTTCTGGAGGTGAGAGATTATTCTCAGTAAGGGTATTTAAATAAACCTAACAGGTTTTGTAGAGAATGTGTTGTCAAGTATTAAGAACAACTGGTAAGTTCTGAGTATCTAAATTATTCTTGAAAGTAACAGTAAACAATTTAAGTTCCTTTCATTAATAACCTGTAGCTTTTTCATGTTATGCAATGACAGTATTATAGTATAGGAGAAATTTGTTTGAAGTTGTATTTTCATGCTAAAATTTATAATCAAAGTCACACATTAAACAAGGTATTCCATAGCAAATAGCAAAAAAGGTTTCCCTGTTAATTATTGTCAACACTTTGTTCCTAGAACATTCTCTTTAAGAATCCTAGACTAGAGTTTTAATCAAAGGCACACATCAACAAAGTGTTCCATAGCCATTAGACAGTTTTAGATCCATGTTTGTACCTGAATACATGTGACCACAAATCACAAGGAGTAACCTGACCTGGCTCCAATGGTCACGTTTACAGTTTGCAGTTCATGTTTGAACTTTTGGCTAGGTAGTTTTAGGTAGGTCAACTCCCTCAGCACTTTTCTTCTTTCTGTTCAAAATTTTTCCTGTATGTCCTGTAAATATATATGTGAGAAGAAGTCTTTTCTTTTTAACCAATCTGTTTGGGATGCTATAAAACCAAACTTTCAGCCACACTTTGTATTTGAAATGAAGGACCCCCTTCCTTTCTGTAATTCCAGATGGCAGCACACTTGTTGATTTTTTTCAAGTGAACACTGATGTTGACATCCAAAACCAAAAATATTGAGACTTCTTACTTCTAACCTGAAACTGCCAACTGCAGTCTGCAGTTGACACACCAAACATGTATCTAAAACTCTCTAATAGCAGAACAGGTGTTCCTGCTAATTTTTGTAAGCACTTTGTTCCTCCATCAGTCTCTTTGTAAGCCAATCATAATCCTAGACTTGAGTGTAAAAACTCCACATGTCAAATCAACCCTCTAATCTTTAAAGTACACTGTATTTTAATGCTTTAATCTCAGAGTTTGTATATTTACCTATAGTTGAAAAAAAATACATTGAATAACCAAATTAACTTAAGAGGAACTTAATGTTTTAAACAACTGGGATGTAATTTTTTCTAAAAACTCAGAAAATGGTGTTAAATTTTTTAAGGAAGAGTCTTACACTTTGTTGAAAGCACCACAGCAAAGTGCCCCAAAACAAATGTCATTAATTAAAACAAAATCAGTCAGCATTTTGCCATATACATACACAATGAAAGCATTTATCTCAAATAAAAATGAACAAATTTCAAATAAAGGAAAAAACAGAAATGAAAAGCATCCCCTTCTCTGTATGCATATTCCCTGATGCCCCCACAGGCATCCCACTCTGAAAGTCCAGAAGACTGACATCTATTCCTAAGTCACTCCTTCAACTCCAGTCGGCCAACAAATGGAGAAAAGAAACTTCCAAAGAAGAGAACATCACCATCATCATGAACCTCACTGAGGTAACCAGGAATAACACTGCCAGTTGGATCATGGAAGCTTCTGGTAATGTTACCACTTTCATCCAGCTCCAAGAGAAGGCCATACCTGACAGCTGTGTTGGTGACTAACCATGGTAAGGAGACAACCTAAAATTTCAATGTATTAGACAATCTTAAAAATAATCAAGCGACAACCCTCATTAGGCAGGAATTTAAACACTCTACCCTTGTTTTATTTAAAATGTAGGTTGAGTGCTTTAGGCATTACTTTGGTTGCATGGTGATCATTTCCTTTATTCTTGTGACCTTCATTTGTGTTGCAGGGGTGATATTGTAAGGAGAAATTAGATGCAAGAGGGGGCTCAAAGAGATAAAACCAAAGTTAACTTCCTCACAGTTATAAACACTACTTGAGTAGTAGAGGAAATAAGGCCTGAAAAAATTTCAGGCCTATATATAAGCAGGATTTGAACCCATGACCTAGAGCTGTGATACTGGTGCAGGGCTCTTCCAACTGAGCTAATGAGTCAACTGAGAGCTGGTCATTATGTTGGTTCTAAGTAAAACCTTGAAGTGGTGAATAAATAACAGTAAATGTGTGAAAATCATATATATATTTCAGGCCTTATTTTCACTACCACTTAAGTAGTGTTCATAACTGTGAGGATCACTTAATTCCATATTTGTTTCTTCAACTGCAATTCACATATGTGATTTTCATATATTTACATTCATTTATTCACCACTTCAAGGTTTTTTTTTGGAACCAACATAATCCAACATAATGACCAGCTCCCAGTTGGCTTGTTAGCCTGGTTGGTAGAGCACTGCTCTGGTATTGCAGAGGTCACAGGTTCAAATCCCATACAGGCCAAAATTTTTTTCGGCCCTTAATTTCACTGCTACGTAATAAGTAGTGTTCATCACTGTGAGGATGGCTTAGCTTCCATATTCACAAAATTAACTTCATTACCACCACTACCAACTACTCTACCACTCTTACCTTTGCTATAAAGTTCTTTGCTCTTGGATACTGTTGCATCAAGTCAAAAAAGTCAGTGCGCATAGTTGCAATACCCAGCCAGTATCCTCCTTTGCTACTTAAGCGAATGTGGTCTGGAAATCCAGGAAGGTTCTGGATAAACACTTCTGATTTGCCTTTCAGTTCCCCTTTGATGTGATACCTAAACACAATACAGACAGTATTTTAAGTGATTCTGATTTTTCACTCCCATTTTAAGTGCTTTTCTAAAAGCATCACAATCAGACTTGACAGTCTCAGTTATTACTATGTGATGGTGTCAGTCAATATTGGAAGAAAATTATAATTTTTAGTAACAACACAAGAACAATTATGAAATATGTCATGTTGATTGCTTAATAAGATACATTTATGGGGCCTGGGAACCAAATAATCAACCTCATTCCCAGGGTCCTCTTTCTTCCTCCCTGAAGAGGGGACTGTGGTTGCAGCTGGTCGTGTGCCTATGCACACTAGAGAGCAGGCGTGGATACATCCTTTACTTAATTTTGTCATCAGTGCAATCTAATTATATCAGTGAGAGCTACAAATTGCAAGTGCTTTTTTAAAAAAGTTTCCTCTTACTCATCCAGTAAGACCTGAAAAACAAATTGCACCTGAGCCCAGGCCTTTCTCAATTTGTTTTTTGTAATCTCCCAAATTCTGGGAGACACATGACCAGCTGCACCCAAGGTCCTTTCTTGAGGGAGGAAGAGAGAGGACCTGGGAACAACATTGCCCAATAACCATCTTAGAAAGAGGGGACTTCATCTTGAAAACAGAGTTGGGTTCTAAATAAATAAATGAAGATTTTGAACACCAAGGAGTGTCTGCAAGAGTAAGAATTC